GCCGTGCGGCTGCGTGACCGCGCGTTAATGAGGCCGAAACGCGCCCGCTGTAGTCTTTGTCTTGTTGATGCACGACGTGTCCGCGAGAATCGCATCCCTCCTCCTCTCTTGCTTGCTCTCCTCGCAAGCTGACAGGAATTCGCATTCGCCTAGGATCCAGCTGAAAGGATAGTGCAGCTGGAAATGACCGTCGACAAGGAGTCCAATCGTAATTCGTCGAGGTACTTTCAAAGATTTACGACCAAGCTTGGGTCAGCATTTTCGACAGTTTGGTTGTCTAGCTTCTATACACATAGAATGGTTGTCATTCTATTAAATTGCGTATTCCATAATCTGGTCAATTTTAAACTTTGATTTATATTCACATACTGTGCTTTGTTGTTTTGGCTTCATTTTATACTTGATTGATTTTGCCGCTTTCGCATTTGGATATTTTTAATTTCAACAACTTGATGATTATATAGTTTGGATGTAACTTAAACAGACATTTTCTTTGTTAATTTAAGAACTCACATGGATTTAAAATTCTTAATCTATTCAAATTTCGCTAAGCACAACTAACCTATATTTGACACTTTTCTTTATGCGAGGCTTACATCAATAAAACTTATATATAGACCAGCAACTGGACCTCGAACTTGGGAAGTTTAGCTGACTGTAACGGATCGATGTTGTGTTTGAGGTATGCGCTTAAAGAGATTGAAGAGAAATGAAGGACAAGAGTATATATAGTTTTATGCTTGTTACTTGTTTTAAGTGTTTCGGCTACTTACCTGATGAAATTGTTAGTTTATATGAAAATGAAAAAAATATTTTGAAACTGGAGGTCTAGAAGAAAATAGAACATTATTCCTTGTACTATGATTATTAAGAAGATAGAATAAAGTTTACAATTTTTCCAAATATTGTAATACAATCGAGTAGAAATTTCATTTTTTCCATCTGAATAGAAGTTTTATTCAAGCACACCAACAACAATGAGAAGCAGTTGTTTCACCTCTTCGAGATCGAAATATGTTTCACCTCTTCGAGATCGAAATATGTTTCACTGCTTGAGTTCTTAGCTTGTCGAAGTATTTTGGATAATCTATTTTAGCTTTATCCAAAATAATAACTGATCGCGTATTATACGAAATGATACGATAACAAAAGTAGCCGGAAACACCGAGGTATCGGATAGAAGCAAAGGATAGGTGCGCCAACGGAAGGGAAGAAGTAAGTTATGCCAACGAAAATAGCATTTGAGTGTCTATATTCACACCTGTCAGAATAACCGACAAATGTAGACACTTAAGCACTATATTCGTTGATTATTCCGACAGGTGCGCGAGGTGAGCATACTGCAAACGGAAAAAGCAGGATAAGATTGAGTTAGATTAAAAGTAAAAAGCAGAAGGTAAAAATTCTTTGATGTATAAGACGTTGATCGATAAGGATGCCATTCTGTTGGGTAAACACTGAAAAGCAACGCAATAACTAGCTCGTAAAAACGAGGGTTTTTATCTACGTACATAATAAGCTAGCGGAACATCAAAAATAACGTCGTGAATGTGGCAGCGACGCAGCAAACTTCGCGGATGCCAGTTAATTAGGAAAATTGTTATGATTATATAACGCAACATAACGAGGAGCAATAAACTGAACTAATTTTATCTAATGCGCAAGGAAGCGCAGCTAGGCAAAGCGTACACAAAGAAAGCATAATGCAACGTGGCTGTGCGCGAGGCGGCAAGTGGAGCAATACATGGGCTAAAGCTCTAGATGTGCATCCGAATCAGTAATACGATTCGTGCTGGGTAAACCGCAAGATGCCAGAGATACGTGGAGTAATAACAAAAGTCAGCGCTATGTGCAGAAAAAAAGACTTAGTTAAAAAGCTTGTGCGAGAACACAATATCCAACTAGTCTTCTTGGATGATAGTTGCATTGCTTGTGTCCTCGACAACCAAGCCACGCTCCAGTCGAACAGTCGAAGCACAAATGTAATTTACCGCAGCGTGGAAAATCTTCCGGAAATTTACTCGTCTCAAGGGATAAATCGAAGATTGCAATTGTGCAGTTAAGCTGATTTTGTGAGTCGTTCGAGTGTTCAGTGGGAACTCACAGAAAGGTCAAAAGCAGTCGACGACCAAAGAGAACGACGAGTCGCCGGCTAGTAACGCTGCATCTAACGAAAGCATTTGATATTCTCGGGCTGCACGCACAGCGCTGTAGCATAATTGCCTCGGCGTCAACGACAAGGGCAAAAAGTCAAAGAGGCGATGAAGCGCGAGAGCACAGTGTTTTTCAACAACGAGGGAGAAGAGAGAGAGAGAGAGAGAGAGAGAGAGAGAGAGAGAGAGAGAGAAAAGAGCCGGGCATTCGCCTCGCCGTCGTAATGAACTGTTTTGCAGGGCACCCGTTGAAGTAGAAAAATACTGGGTTAATGGGGCGGGGGCTGAGGCAGCGGAGAGAGCTGACTCTCTTTCTCCACTTTGCATCCTCCGCCGTCGCCGTCACTGAAAATCGTTAGGTAGAGGTGGGGGGGGGGGGGGGGGGGTGCGCTGTTGTTTGCTCTCTTTTCAGAGATTATACGGCAGATCCCTCGATATTAAAAGTCCGCAGACGATAATGAAACGAGCGATCCGTTGAGGATGGCTCGCGTTGCCATCCGAACTACATTCCCATTACGTCGAACGTACAGCTGGTTTTCTGACTACTCTCACGTTCGGTTGCCTTTCTATCTCGCTCGAAGGAGTGAGTGTTCTTTTTTCTTTAGCGGGATTGTCGCCTACTTAATAGAGTAAACCATAACGCACGAACGAGCGCAAACATGATCGCGAAACGTGCAAACGGATGCCGATGAAAGATTCGCACGGCGCCTAGCCGCTTGATTAATCCATTTAAAATTGAACCATAGAAAGAGCCGGGCTTCGATGTCGTCGTCGCTGTCCGACTCGCTTCATCGAATCCTCTTGGGGCGAGCGCGCGCGCGCACACAAAAGACTGCTCGAGTTACGCGCGCACACACCTGACCGCTTTATCTCACTCAACAGTTGGCGAATCGATCTCAGCCACATTGTGGTCGCGGGGCAAGGCCTCCCTCTCGTCTTGACGTCCTCCGGTCTCGGACGACGTCGATACGCTTGCGCCAGCCCTGCGTTGGGGCGGCAGAGCATGCGGGCCTCGAGAGGGACTGACTTTCGCACGGGCGATGATTATTTTCTACTCACGCGGGCTGATTTACGAGCTCGGCTCGATGAAATTCCGAAGGGCGCGCGCCGAGCTCATCCAAAGTAGGTGCATTTCGTAATACGAATAGTTGTTTGTACGGTCGAGCGAAACGCGATATCACATTTATCGGCTAAAAGTTACTAATGCTGCCTGTAATTTCCTCTCCTTCGGCGAACTGATCAAAAATTCTTTCTGTAAATCGTTTCGGAGAAATCCGTCTGATTAATATTCAAGCCAAGTATAAAGTCAAGCTTAGTCGTCCAATTAACCAACAAAGTATATAACTTTTGTGATCTTAGACGGATCTTTGTTAGAACACCGCTGCCCTATTAACGTCACTCTAATTTTCCATTCATCAATATTGCATATGCATGGCAATCGTTATTCGCGACTTCACTTCACGAATCGGTGTTTGAAGTATACAGACCCTCGAAGCAAGTACTGCTTCAAATAGTACTTAAGGCAACTTGTACACTGTATCAATTTTCGTGTTCTTTTGATCTCGAGGAAGGGTAAAGAAGTCCTAAAGGGTCGAGGAACTTTTATCCGAGAGAGAAAGAAAGAGAGAGAGAGAGAGAGCAGTTACTATTCTCCCACACTGTATCTCTCATTTTCAATATCCATCTCTTAATACAATACACACCGAATACAGCTTAGCGCCATTAGCAGTATGTAGCGGCTGAATAATGCACTACGAGCTTACACTAGCGTTATAACCCGAGATGAGCGTTGGCTTACTAGTGCATGCCATCACAACCGGTATCAGGTGATGGAGAAACTTGTCAGCAGATTATTGCGCGATCACGGAATTTTCGCATAGCGCGGTTATTTTGCACGCAGCCCGCCAGTTCGCTAGTTGGCGCGTCACTCGCGAGAGCATCACGCTGCATTCCGACAGCTTGCCGAGACTCAGCACCGAACGAGCGCTCGGTCTCGAAAGAATGTCGGTCGCACTCGCGAAGCTTGGACCGAATTTGATAATGCAATCGATCGAAGAGCGCCTGATGCATATGCGTCTTGGCTTGCACGCACGTCCACCACTCGACATTAGGCGATGATTTGTGTAAGTCTCGGGCGCACTCCTCGCCTCGCGCCATCGATCGACGCGCGCTCGCGTCTCGACGCTGTTTTCGATCTTCCCGATTGGCGACCGATTTCGACACGACTTATAGTCGCAGACTGCAACTCGATCGCGAAGGCTTTTCTCCCGAAGAAAAACAAATAGCGCGGCCTGTGCTTCCGGCCGTTGCCCCGTTGCTAATTGCAACGAATACAATTGGCGGCGGCTTGCTTTGTGGTTGTAGCACGATCGAGTAATCGAATAGTCGCATACGGCAGAGCGGGCGCGCTTTGCGCTACAGCAGTCAGCGATAAAAACAAAAGATCACATTCGTAAAACCGGTAGCGGAATAAAGAATGACTCGATTGACCTAGCGTATCAAAGGCGAAAGCGAAAAAAGGTCCAACGTACAGGATGGGCATTTTATTCGCAGGACGGCTTCCCAAGTTCTTCTCGATGAGTCTCGTGGGCTTTCCTCCGGTCAGTGCGCACGCACGCGTAGCATACAGACACCTGGCTGCAGGTGGGCGCCGCGTACTCGTTGCAGCAGCAGGCAAACTGGTGGCAGTGTCGGCGGTTCGATACGCGCGGGCGCGCGAGTACGAGAGAGAGAGAGAGAGAGAGAGAGAGCGCGCGCGCTACGCCTCCCACTACCAACTTGCCGCGTTTCACCCACCCCCAGCCTGCTGTCGCTGCTCCGCGAGCTCCACGGTGGCGGACAGTGCCGCCAGAGCTCTCGCGAGGGACACCCGTGATTTCCTGTAAGCTCGCCGAACGCGACGACCACGCGATTACCCCTTCTTCCCAGCTAGTGCCCGACCCCTTCTCGCCGTCGTCCACTTCTTCCTCTTGCTTTTCTCCCACTCGCTCCTTACGCAGCTTGCCCTGGCTTACGGGATCGTTGCGCCACCGGTCCTCGCTTGCCTGTCGCTCTTACCTTTTCAAGCCGCGGAGTGCCGCAGTGGTTTCGCGCCTCCCCCAAGTGGGTTACACGGTCATGGGGATAGCGCACAAACGCTCGGGGGCCAGGTCGCTCGTCCGATTCCCTATCCTTTTGCGCCTTTTTCGTACGTTGCTTTCCGTGCATTTAGCTTCTCTCTCTCTCTCTCTCTCTCTCTCGTTTTCTCTGCACGAATCGATTTTCCCGCTGTGTGCGCTTTAACCTGCGCTGCCTACTTTTTCCTATGCCTGTTTTTCTTTCTCCTTGGCCTCGCAACACGCACGCCGACACTCATGCACGCACGCGTGTCGCTTGATAAGTTGTCCACGATTTTTCACTATTTTATTTTCCCTTTGTCTTTCACGCGAATGGCTTTCGTTTGCCACGTTAGATTTTGAAAGAGAAGGCGAAAAACGAATAGGTTCGCGTTTGTCATGAAATTCGGGAGCGAGAATGAGAGAGGCCGGGGGGGGGGGGGTACGACAGAGGAGCAGACGCGAAAGACGGTATCACGCGAGAGGTTCTGTGGTTGCGCGGGTCAGGACTCAAAATGAAATCTCCACTGACGGATGCCTCTCCCGTTCGGTCTGCTCGTGTCCCGCTTTCCTTCCTTCGCTCGATCTCCTTTCGCAAGTTTACTGAAAAGTTTCCTTCCTCGAGGAGTTTAGCGACTGGCTGATTTACAGCCAAGCTGGGAGTCCCTTAAAAGAAGCCACTGCCACTCTCCATCCGAGCTGCTCGCTATACACGCCAACTTCCTTCTCTCCAGCGCACGTCCCTCGACGCACGTGCGAGTGTGATTCTTTTAATTTGCAGGCTGCCCGCTGACAGTCCGTTCGCGAGTGTGGACTCTCATTGTCTTGGCGCCATATCTCACCTTCGCCATGCAGTAAGTGCGCGCGTGTAGTCCTGCAGCAGCACGTACGCGTAATGAAATAGATAGAAGAAGGCCACGATACGAGGACGACACGACCGCCGAATCATCGACGAGGCGGCAACGGTGGTTGAGTGAAATGTGCATCTCCGGCGTCAGATGATCGCGGCAGGTGTTATGAAGCGCGGTTGGACGAGAAGCTCGTCCGCGGTACGAGGACCCGACAAGACTGGCGCGAGGCCATGAGAATAAGCTAACGCATCAATGTAACTGTTAAGCAGAGATTCGTTTCACTGTAAGCCGAATTTCCGAAAGGCCATGCTCATCCGATGACTGTGACTACGTAGATTACAAGAATTTTTTCGATATTTAAACGCAGATATTATTAATCCGTAGCTGTACTTTTGGTACATGTACAAAGTATATTGTTAACGAGCGACTAGCCGCCGTATTAGAAGAATTTTTCGACTCTAACCAACGCACCTGAATATAACGCTTGAGCCCCCTTACACGTATGCGTCCTTGCTCTTGCTCGTGCTAACAACTAGTAGACAAGAGTTGAAGATGCCGAGACAAGACTTCGCCTGCGTTCTCAGTCTGTAGAAACACATCTGACGCGGCGCATAAGAGGATCCGAAGTTTCTTGACGAGTAGCGAGAACAAGTTTGGGATTGACGAGACGCACCACCGACACGCGACAGTCGACGGCAACGGGCTTAGTGCGAGCTGCAATGATCGCTCTTTGCCCGAGAGGTCGAATCGCCAACGACGACCGAGGACAGTTGCGGCTACATTGCGGTGCGTGCCGAGCCGGGATCCGGTCCGATGCACCAAGCGAAGCGTGGTGAGGATCAGTCGGACGCAGCGACGAAGAGGCAAAAGCCCAACGACGATGTGGCAGCAGCAGCTCCCGGCGGAGCGTCATCAACGACCAGAACAGGCGACGAAGCAGAAACAGCAGCAGCTGCAGCAGTCGACGCGGGCGCCTGACCAATGACATCGCGGAGGAGTGGCGGCCCACCCGAGGCAGCCAGAGACCCCCGTAGCCCTGCCCGGATCAGTGGCAGCTCGGAGGGCAATGGCTTCCGACAGCAGCGCCCGCAGGTCGCTGGGCTGGCCCAGCAGCCGGGCGACCTCGCCCAGCAGCAGCAGCGCAGCGGAAGCCTGCAAAACCTCGCGGCTCGGGAGCCGCTGGTTGTGCCGCCACCGGTGCCGCCGCGAACGCCTCAGGTGAGGCAGCCTCGAGGCCGTCGCGGCGTCGCGCCAGCGCCGCCCGCTCGCCAGCTCCCCCCGTTGCCCGCCAGGCCCGAGCCCCCGCCCCCGCCGCCGCCGCCGCCCAGCGCTGCCGCCGCTGCGTCTCGAGAAGACGACGACTTCGTCACCGTTTCGGTGCCCGAAATCCCGAATCTGCCGAGGTTGGAGAACGCGAGTGACGACGACGACGACGACGACGACGACGACGACAACGACGACGACGAAGCACTGCCCGCCAGGCTTCTCTTCGCCAGCTGCGCGCGACAGGCTAGCTCGTCTAAGAGCCGCGACGAGGACGAAATCGTTGCCGAAGAGGTCGGCGATCACAGTCCCGGCACCAGTCAGCCGAGACCGTCGGCGAGGAGCCAAGCTGGAGCGAGACTCAGACCGCCGTTGTCGGGAACCGCCGGCGTGTCGGCGGACTCGGGCACCGGGGACTCGGGCAGCGCCGAGGTCCCCGGCGACGGCGCCAGCACGCCGCTGCAGCTGCACCACGAGCGGGCCGCGGAGAAGGCGGACGAGGCCGAGGGCGACGGCGCCGCCGACGACGAGCTGGCCGACGACGTTGACGCGCTGCAGGAGCTGAGGTGGCGCCGGCCGCTCGGCGAGGCCGCGACCCCGAGCTCCAAGCCCGCCTCGAAGACGGCCAAGCAGCAGGTCAAACTTCTGACGAAGGACAGCAAAGAGCGCTTCGAGAACAGACACGTGCAGCTGGTGCGCGACTACGGCTTTCAGCCCAAGAGAAAGGGCTCCGTCGAGGACGGCGGCGTGCTGCCCAACAAGTTCGAGCCCTTCCCCACGAACCTCTACGGCCGGCCTCTCGAGGAGATTGACAATTTCATTTACGACGAGGTGAGTTCACGGGCTCGGCATCGTAATCGAGCCAACGCGCGCCTCCCGCCGCAGCTCAGATACTTCGAATCGCTCGCCGATCGGCAATTCGCATTGACGAGCGCAAGTCTGCTTGATTGGGAAAATGACGCTCGCGCTAGCACGACTGCCGACCAAGTGGGACAAGCGCATACTTTAGCGGTCGCTGCTGCAACTTCTTCGAGTGGTCGAGTCGGTCGGCCAAGTCACCGCCGCGACGAGCGTAACTTTACACTCACGGCGCGGCCTCGGCAAACACTGCGATATCGTCCGATCGCGCTCGCCCCGGCCGCTCGTTGTCGCGTGAATTGCGCGTCCAGGAGAAGTCGATATCTCGCGTCTAAAGCTCGCGGTGGACGTGCGGAGCACTTGCGGCGCCTAGCCTGGCGTTGATTTTGAGATTCGTGCCGATCGATGCGTGTTTCGCAGCATTTGATTTTTGTCTGCCGCCGCGCACGGGTGATCAAGTCGCCTGCTACTTTCTGACTAGTTAGCCACTCGTCTCTCGGGAAATGAGCGCCCGCACTCGCCGTCATTGTTATACTCATTAATTAGAGCGTGCGTAGCCGAGACTGCGTTTCGGCGTTGGCAGAGGTCATTTCGGAGCGACAGCTCTAGCCCACAGCGCGCTCCGTAGAGCAATTGATTAAAATCGACGTTGTTTCGCTAATCGAATCGGCTCTTGGTTGCCAGGCCGTGCGTATGACAGCTTGAATTTCAATGAATTTCAAGCGGACAGCGCCGCGTCGCGGATGATCGATCCACTTTGCGCGCGCTCGGCTTTTCATTTTTCCGTTGCCAGAGACGCGATAAATGTTTTCGCAACCGCGATAACGACAACTTGGACGCTCGTAAGTCCAAGTTCAGCCTCGGCTACAATAATCTAGCATTGACTACGAAGATAGTCCCGCCACTGCCAAACTGGCGATTCTTTTCGGGAGCCGTGCTGCTCGCGCAAGGCCAAGTCACGAATGAACGAGCGACGAGGGCAAGCAGTTCGAGGCGCCAACTTTGCCCCATGAATGATACAAGTTTCAATCGGGCAAAGACCGCGGGCCTCGCCTCATCTTGGCCGCTGCCATCGGGGCGGAATCGGGATTCCCGACCTCCTTACGACTCGGCAACGAGCTCGGAATTCCGGAGCATGTAGCCCATCGAGTGCGCCCCCCCCCCCCCCCCCCCCGACTACACGGATAGGTAAGATCGAAATGCTCGACAGAAGGGTAAATAGTGCTGCTGCCACAAGCCTCACTCGCGCAATCCCACGGAATATAGCGATTACCACGCAACTACACGTTACTTGATATTCAAAGCCTCCCTTCTCTGCGCCTGCAAACGCCCGCTCGAATGACGCGCAAGATATATACGTATCGGCTCGCTGATTTTCAGGACACCGGTGAATACGCTCTCTGCAGACCTGAAATTGCACATGCCGTCGTAGCTCGCGCCCGATTTACGCACCTATAATACCAACTGATTTTACACTCGTGAGTGTGCGTGTGCGCGTACGCGAATAACTTTGCCTCTACACGCCGATCAAAAGCTACTTTGAGATTCATCCCGAATACAATCTCTATTGAAATGCGTTTGTAGGTTACTCCGCTGGATTTTCGTTCTTGATTTCAAATTAAAACCCAATTGAAATTTGCTGAAGCACATTGCGCTCTAGTTTCCGTTCGATAATCTACGGCTCAAAGGCTAGGATACTTACTGCCCAGGTAATTTGACTTTGTTTGACTGTTTACGTATGCGAAGTAGCACGAGTAGACGGCGGCATTAGTTCAGCGCTCGACGTAGACACACTTGCTAAAAATAAAAAAAATCATATTTGCAATCTCATTTCTTTTTCTTTCATTTCAACATCTACTTTCGATTAGTTTGCATTAAGGTTGTGCGCCAAACGAGCATATCTAATTTCCTTTTATTCCTGTGTCCACAGTGATAGTGTATACCGTAAATAATAAATTTATTTCTGTTAAAATTAAAAGCAAACGTCGTTTAACCTGCGGGGTATCTTGCGAAAACTAAAAGAAAAAGAAAACATAGTTCCAGTTCGCTGGCGACTCTGAAAAAATACAGCTACACGCAGTAACTGGTCTTACACTGCGTTTTATTATCTCTTACCGAGAAGTTCTCACTGACGTATTGCGAAAGTGGAAAAATCAAATTAATTGCTCTCGACCAGATGGGCTTCGGCGCGGAAGAGCGTTGGTAAAAAATGAAGAGGCACGCGTCGAGAGAGAGAAGGAGCTGCAGCAAAATCCTACACGGGAGCTCGAAGATTAGGTTCCGCCGACTTTGTTGCTAAATAAAATAACGAAAGGTGGGAAGAGGAAAAGCGTGGCATAAAGCTGAAAAACATAACTCTTCGGTAGCCAAGCGAACGAATAAGAAGAGCAGGCTTAGAGTTTAACAATCCAACCTCTTTCTTTTGCAAAGCCTTTTGAAGGAGAGCGAGCGAAAGAGCGCGGAGCTCAAGAAGTTACTAAATCTGACGCTGTATTTTTGATGTAAATTCGCCCTGGCGAAAATGTCGTGCCGTGACTTTAATAAAGTTTGCAGTACAATCAGCCTTGTGGCCGCAGACTGCGGGGTATTCTTTCTTTAATTTCTGCGAAGTACAACAATTAAAAATATCCCTGTTAAAGCGTCGCACGCGCTCTTTCTCCCCTGACAACGTTGAAAGACACGGTGGAAGCAATTAGCGGACGCACGAAAGGTAGCATTATTAATTTTAGCCGACAAACAACTGACTAAAATTATGAGAGAAGGAGACCCTTTTGTGAAAAGCATGGAAAAAAAAGTTCTTTTAAGCGCAAATTAACAACGGCGAGCTTATAGCTCGGAGTTTAACGCTCGCGCTTGTTCCGCTTTATCGAGCGAGTATAGGTAGAGATTCTGGTGTTCGCACGTTCCCTCGCAAATTGACTCTTCTGACTCGTCGAACTTATTAGTTGAGCCGAACCACGGGCGCCACGCGCGGGTTTTCTTTTCTCTTTTTCGCGAATAGAGATAAAGAGTCAAAGCACGGCTTCGAGACTAAACCGTCCGTGAGAACGTTCCTGCTGGCCGGTGCCTCGCAGCGGTTAAACTAAAGGTCCAACGTCGCGAAAGCCTTTCGCAAACAACTGCAACAGGTACTCGCCGGGCGAACCGCAGGCTTTCCGGTTCGCGATTTTTCGTTTGATTGAATCTAAATAATGCGCCAATCGAGGATTCGCGAGCCGCGCGAAACGACGAGTCGAATTAGAGCCGAATGATAAATCGGTCGACGGCCGAGGGCCCCGGGCGAACTGGGGCGAGCCGGTGTCGAACAATGGCGCGCGCTGCTCCGAATTCGCAATTCGGCTTGGCGGCTAGCCCCATCTAAATTCCAAGCAAGCCGCGTGATAGCACAATCGCTACAAGTTGCTATCGGCGGCCAATTGCGAAATTCGTTCGACTTGGACGCTCGCGTTTCGAGCTAATCTCATTCCATTAGGCGTCTTTTCGCGCGCGAGCTTCTCTCGTTTTCTCTCTCCCTCTTTCTCCCGCGTCGCGGCGCTGCGCGGCGAACGCAGGTAGTTAGAAAAGGACGCCGATCAAACGAGCACCTCGCGCAATTGGCTCTGGAACTGCTATTGCCTCCTATTCTGCGTTGCTATACTCCTCGCGCGGGCACGGAAAATGGAGTCTTCGCGCTGTCCCGATGGATTTCTCAGAACGTACGTGCTCGTTAGCTTTCATTAGCCGGTTCGCGCGACCAACAATTTCAGTGCTGCTGCTGCTGCTGCCTGTGCTTGATCGAGCTTCGATTAGTAATATGTACAATTAAGTGCGACGCGAGAGCGCGCATACCAATAAGTAGCGGAGGTTCAATTTCATCGTCAGGGTGAATAAACAGACGTACATATTGAAGATAAACATCGAGCGGTGCAAATATTTCAGTATCGGAAAAATACTTCGGGTAAAAATAAATAAAGGAAATCCACCGACAATGGCAGTGGAAGTTGCACCCACACGGGCAGCCCGCGTTACTTTGCAATACCAATGGAAATTCAAATTTCCATGCGACTTCATTGAAAAGTTTACCTTTTTCATTTTACATGAAACATTCAACTGCCGAGAAATTTTGCCTAGTCAAGGGACGAGGTAGCCTGAAAAAAGCTTTTTACTGCAAGATCCACAAAGTCATTAGCGTGTCGCGCATATAAACGCTTTATCATTACACGAAGAGGTACGCCAACGAAAGGCAGTTGGCTCGGAAAGGCGCGGAAAGCCGAAAATGAGATTCCATTTAAGGGAAGCACGTTCAATGCACGTCACCGTTACAAAGTCAACGAGGAAACGTCTCGTGAGAGAATAGGCAGTCGCTCTTCATTGCGCCTTCGCATTCGGATAATCCAGTAATATTTCGCGAGCCATGCGCCGCACACACGACCCGCATAGCCAGCATTCGATCGATCCCGCGAGAAATTTCAATCTCGTGCGCCGCTCGCGCCCTGTTTCACGCATAAAGGAGCCTGCACAATTTTCACTGGACAATGAGACTTTTTCTTGCTCGTTCGCCGTGGCACGCTCAATTTTTTTTTTTTTTTTTTCTTTTCGCGTTATCGAATTTCTTTGTCGTTTCGGGCGCTCGTGAACTTGTGTTTCGTCCAACCATCAACGAACACAGTGACATGCAAATATGCGTACCGGCGGAGTGAGATCGCGCTGTCTTTGCTGTCTGTCCCTACTGTCGCTGCTGTGCTTTCAATCTTCTTGGTCTTTTTCGTTTCTCCGACGTGGGTGCACGATTGTTCGAAAATCTTTAGTATCACTGCTGAAACATACTTTCCACAAATATTTTCACGAAACACAGAGCAATACTTTTCATGTATATACAAACTCGACAAGTTTCTTTCGTATCAATTTTAATTTGCATTCAATTTGAGCTTACTAGGCCAATACCAGTACAATAGGTCTCGACAGCATATAATTCCGACAACATTGTTGGATAG